GATATTCAAGGTCAATAATATTTTTATCATGATAAATGACTAATTGTTGGTGTTGGGATTTGAACCATTTCACTCCGTGTACCTTTTCACCGCGGTTGCTTCATTTGACCATTGTGACATGTCCTCTAGTAAATACCCAAAAAACATACACCCAGAAATAAACTATTAACACTATGACCGTTGTAAAATTGGTGTTACGAAATGTCTATTGTGTAGTAATGCAACTTCATAAAATCTCAACTTACTATTATTCTTCAACTTATCAATAATCATCTTAGCCACCAAATCAACCTTAACACTTTTGTTTAAGAACTATCTTCCACATTTGTGTTTGTGAAATAAAGTCTTGATCTTATATGTTGTAGATCTCAAAACTCTGTTGGATGTCACAATATAGTCACACAAGTTTTTGTTCTTACATACAACTCAACATCTAGTGGCATCATTTTTGGCAAATGATACTTGCCTACCATTCAAGACATTGTGTTCAAGTATAACCATCTTAAATTGCTCTAGAGATGAAAATTTCATTCCAACTTTGAACGTAAAACCCTTTGAAAGTGTTTCATATTCATTATACCTAATAATGCAGGCATGTCATTAAAACTATCTTCATCTGCCCCACTACCAAGGTCATCAGTCATGTAATTTTCTTCAATGATATGTTTCCTACACACCTTTTTTATAAGCATATGGTTTATTGGTTGACTTGTAGCAGTAGCAACAACATTCTCCCTTATAGGCCCATCTTCGTGCACACCCTCACCTTCATCCACACCAAAATATTGCCCTTCAGTAAATTCTTTATCAAAATTATGCATTCTCTCTTCTCCATTGTCTTCATAGTGTATATCATTCATAAATTCATCGCCTGACTCATTGTCCTTTTTGCTGTCCTTTTTGCTTCTCTAATAGCCTTTTTGCTTCTCTAATAGCCCCTCCATATATGTCAACTCACCTATAGCTGGTTTGGTCTCTGTATATATTTTAACATCACACTTATTTTCCTCATCAAATAAAGCTAACAATAATGCATCCACATCATTTCTAAATGGTTTTAGATCGCTTTCCAAACAGCCATTTTCACCATAACTCCACAAGATAAACACTAAACTCTGAGTCCAACCATTTAATTAGGTCACAAGCTTCAAAAAATGACCAGAAATCACTGTCTTGTCCACTGAATGCTTAAATATCCCAAACTTCATACCTTAACTCAAAGTCTTTTACAAAAGAACCCTTGGTGAAAAATATCACCTTGAATATCCCTATTTCCTGTACAAGACAAATACAATCAAGGATAAATTTGGTTTTACATTCACATAAAGTCATTAATTTTTCAGTCAACATTACAACAGTGGATCACACACTATACAAAACTCTAAATGTATGTGGGACACAAAAAAAGGAGAAACATTAACTATTGGAAATACTTATATGTCACAAACAAAGATGATGTGTCATTTAACAATGATGATGTGTCATTTAATAATGATGATGTGTCATTTTATTTTATTTTTTAATTACACATAGAGTTTAATTTATTTTATATATATATATATATATATATATATATATATATATATATATATATATATATATATATATATATATATATATATATATATACACACATTATATTTTTAGTTTTTAATTTTATTTTTTGTTTATTATTTTTTTTTGTAATTTTTTAATGTTTTTTAATTAGTTTTTAAAATATTTAAATTTTTATTCTTATTATTTTATTATTTTATATACAAAATAAAATTCTTATCTTATTAATGTAAGGTTCGTATATATATATATATATATATATATATATATATATATATATATATATATATATATATATATATATATATATATATATATATATATATATATATATATATATATATATATATATATATATATATATATATATATATATATATATATATATATATATATATATATATATATATATATATATATATATATATATATATATATATATATATATATATATATATATATATATATATATATATATATATATATATATATATATATATATATATATATATATATATATATATATATATATATATATATATATATATATATATATATATATATATATATATATATATATATATATATATATTAAAATAATAAAAAATAAAATTAAAATATAATAAAAACATTAAAAAAAAAATTAAAATAAAATTAAAATCCACGTGTAATTAAAAGATAAATAAAAAGTAAAATAAAATGACACATCGTCGATCTTCAAGTTTTTCGTTTTACTATGTATATCATATTAAGTATAAGATATAAGCTTTTTCCAATAGAAGAAGTTTGACCCCCTCCCATTAATAATTCTCATTATTAATGTTTTCGTTTTCTTTATTGGTGGGGTCTTATATATTCCATTTTCATGTGCCTCACAACCCGAAAGAATTCGGGGGGAGGGGTCATTTCGTTTTTTGATCTAGAATGAATAGTTTCAAGAGATGAGAGAATTCAGAATACCCACTAGAAATACTAATCCAATCCATAAGGATGTAGCGGAAAAGACAACATTTTTGTTACTTGACCAACCATCAGGAGAAGCAAATACAACAGGTACACTAATTAATAAAATGGATGAAGTAACAATTAATGCAAAAACAACTAATTGAAACGCAATAGTCATGTTTATAATTCTCTAATTTACCAATAAAAGAACTATACCATTTGATCCCCCAACCCCTTTTCTTTTGATTTGACCCCTTCCAAAAATAAATAAAAAACACATTCTCATTATGGGGGGTTTTATCATGAATCTATTGATTTTAGATGACACTCCTTATTGAGGCATGAATCGAGGGGTAGTTTTTTTTTTACTTCACAAAAGAGCATGCTGGATCATGAATATATAATATATAATATATATGGATAGAGAACTAGACCAATAGATTCACACTGGATATCTTTATCATAGAGAAAAGGGTATTAATTTGTATGGTCATGTTCTCTTGAGTGGAATAAAGATAAAATAGAAATTAGCTTTTGGAGAGATGGCTGAGTGGTTGATAGCTCCGGTCTTGAAAATCGGTATAATTCCAAACAAAGAACTATCGAGGGTTCGAATCCCCCTCTCTCCTTTTTCTTGGCGAATGATTTTTTTTCTTTTATTGATTTAAATTGATTTAAGTTGGCTCGGTTTTTTCGGGCTCAGCTAAGTGGTGATATAGCCGAGTCCGAAAAAAGATTAGATATAAATGAATTAAAAAAGAAAATATTTTTTCAATATGATCTCCTCGACTCAACTCAATATGTATACTAAAATCAAAGTGATTCTTACGTCAAGCATTGGATTTCATGTCTCAGTTAAGAGGAGTCATGGAAAGAATAGGCTCCAAATCTCTATCAATTCCTTTTTCAAATCCCGCGGAAGCTGCGCGAGCTCTTCCCGCGTGCCATAAATGACCTACGAATAGGAAGAATCCTAGAACAAAATGAGAAGTAGCTAACCAACTTCTAGGAGAGACATAATTGACTGGATTAATTTCTGTAGCTACGCCACCCACGAAATTTAAAGAACCTAAAGGAGCACGGGTCATATATTCTACGGAACGACGTTCTTGCAAAGGCTGTATATCTTTTTTCAGTCTACTCAAGTCCAAACCATTAGGACCTCTTAGAGGTTATAACCAGGGAGCACGCAGATCCCAAAAACGCATAGTTTCTCCTCCAAAAATGACTTCTCCGGTCGAAGAACGCATTAAATATTTACCTAAACTGGTAGGCCCATGAGCGGAGCCTACATTAGCTCCAAGACGTTGGTCTCTAATTAGAAAAGTAAATCCTTGAGCTTGAGAAGCTTCCGGTCCAGTGGGACCATAAAACTCACTAGGATAAGCAGTATTATTAAACCAGACAAAGCAACAAGCTATAAAACCAAAAACGCCTGAAGCACCTAAACTATAAGATAAGTAAGCTTCCCCAGACCATACTAGTGCACGCCGAGCCCATGCAAAGGGTTTGGTTAAGATATGCCAGATTCCACCAAGTATACAAATGGAACCCAACCATACATGTCCCCCAATTATATCTTCCAAATCGTCCACACTAACAATCCAATCTTCTCCCCCAAAAGGCGATTTTAGTAAATAACCAAATATAATGCTTGGACTAAGGGTTAAGTTGGTAATTTTTCTTACATCTCCCCCTCCTGGAGCCCAGGTATCATATATACCCTCAAAATAAAAAGCCTTCAATATTAGAAGAAAAGCCCCTATACCTAACAAAATTAAGTGAATACCAAGATAAATAAAAAGTAAAATAAAATAACACATCGTCGCTGTTAGATGACATATTATTTTTATTTGTAACAAATAAATATTTTAAAAACATAAATTCTAAAAAAAAATAGTTTCTTAATATAAAAGACTACATGTTAAAAAAAAACTTAAAACACTAATTTATTATTTTAAAATAACATAAAGTTCTAAACAATATTTTTTGCCTTAATATTTGTTAGAAGATATTTTAATTTTAATTTTATTAACATTTATATTTTAATTTTTGTTAAAACTCATTCTTCTTCTCTCACCAAACACTTTCTCTCTTTCTCTCTTTCCATTCACTCCTTCGTTCTCTCTATCATCGTCTCAGGTACTCTCTCTACTGCAAAACCAATAACCAGCAATTAGCGAATATAAACCCTAATTTCACACACATCACACTCTTCAGTTCCTCCATTCACTCTCTTACCAAATGCTCTACTTGTTTCACGTTTCACCTTCATTGTTATTAATCTGTATTTCGAATTTAGCACATGTATGAGCGAATGTTGATTAACGGCTTTGTTTTGTGACTGTTATGGTTTTAGCGATGATCATGATTTGGATCTACTTGTTTCATTGCAGGGAAAACTGAGGGGGAAAAACCCCTCTTTTTTTTTTCTTTTTCTTTTTTTTCTTTTTTTTTTTGTTCTAAAATTTTGAATTTTGAGGAATTAAGGGTTGGGATTTATGTCCTTCAATCAATCAAAGTCCGATAAAAGTGACACTGCGTACCGACGATCCGGCCGATCCGCTAGCTTCAATCAGCAGCGAGGTTCCACCGGTGGTTCATACGTTAAGAGCGGTACCGGCGGGGCCGCACCTTCAGTCTCCTCTTCTGGGAGGTTAGTTTTACGATTTTGAAATTCATGTTTTGTTGTTTTCAGTGTGAGGTGGTGTAGATTTTGAAATATGATTAGAGTGTTTATGTGTAAACATTGTAGGATTATTATATATGAATGTGTGCAGTAATAAAATTGTATATGAATGTGTGAAGTAATAAAATTGTATATGAATGTGTGAAGTAATAAAATTGTATATGAATGTGTGTAGTAATAAAATCTTATGCAATTTTGTTTTATTTTTTAAATTACTTATCTGTCAAAGAAATTTTTTAGTTATTTGTTTGTGTAAAAAAGAAGATAAAATTATAGGTAAAATGGTTTGATTGAATGGTAAGACTGAAAGAAAAAATCATTTCACCAAAATTCGGTACCCTTGAATTCGGTACCCTTGAATTCAGTTGGGTACCGGTACCTTTATCCAATGAAACATTCACATTCAATGCCATGTCATTTTTATATATATTTTATTTAAAAATAAATTAATGTTTTAAATTAATTTACACTAAGGTACCGGTACCCAACTACTTATCATGGGTACCTAAGAATTTGCCTTGATCTATAGGTAGGATTTAACTCACTTACACTGTGTAAAGAGTTTTTATACTGGGAAATAGTGTTGTCGATGGCGGATGACTCTCCATGGCAGAGAGCCAAAATGCCACCATACCGGCTGCAAACCGCTCTGCGGCGCCGTTATAGCAGATTATGACTGAAATAACCGCAGTGTCTATTTACCATTATGGCGAACCCAAAAACCGACATGTATCCGCCATGGTGGATATTTGATAACACTGCTGGGAATCAATCATAACTATTAGTTCATTTGACTCATAGTCACATAAGAGGGGTAGGGTATGGTTAGCTTAGGGGTGTACTTGTAATCTTGACTGTAGTATTATATATATCCTTGTAATACTAAAACCCTAATTCATTCAAATAATAAAACAGAACTACAGCTGCCCTGTTGTTGCAGATGTAAGGACACTTGGCCGAACTGCACAAACAAATATTGTGTTCGCTGTATGCAATTTACGTTTTGATTACTCTTTTGATACTAGTTGCTGTTCTAACAAAATCACATACATGATTGGTCGTAAAATGCTGAAGTGTAAAACTTTTACAGCGACTGCATGAAAATTAAATTCTATATATTAAAGAAGTCATTTATTTGATTGAGTGATGAGGGGTAAAATCGTTAGTAAATGGTGAACTTGGAAGAAAAAAAGCTACACCAGAACTTAGTATCCCCTTTATATAATAGGTATAGATTTTAAGTTTCATTTTCCCTCCTTTTTTATTGATATTGATTGTTGCTTTTGTTAGTTTTAACAAGAAGTCTAATAATCATGCACAAGGTGGACCATCTAGGGTAAACCCAACCCCAGCAACTTCAACTGTGCCTAATTATGCTTCTGCAGTCCGAGCAACACCGAATGGTTCCCATGTACAACAGCCGCATTTTCATGGTAAGCTTGGACCTGAAATAGTTTCTTTCGGTGCTTGGTTGTGCAAGAATTACTTGCATTCCATTTTATAATGGAAGAACCTGCTGCTTTAATATATGGATGGAAATTTAGTGTTTGGTAAAATGTGATTGTCTTTTGTGGACAATACTTATCTATGTTGTGTCATAGGAGGGTCTGATGCTTCAGTTACTAATGCAACTGCCAAGCCATCCGAATCATCAGCTGTACAAAGGAGCACCGAAGTTGTTTCTAAAGCTCCTATTTCTCAACCTCCCTCCGTGAGTTCTGGTTCAGCAGCACCTGCAACTCCTGCTAAGGGTATGTTATTCCTAATGTAGGTTTTTATGTAGCACATATGACGTGGAATAAGGTTTTTGGTTTCATAATTTGTATATAGGGTCATAGTTGAAATATAACTTGTTCTTACCTATTACTCGTGATAATGATCTGAATATTGCCATCTTCCCCAGTAGATGCATCCAAGGCTTTCCCTTTCCAATTTGGATCTCTTAGTCCTGGTGTTATGAATGTGATGGCAGTAAGTTTCTCATCTGCAAGTTACTTAACATACAACTGAAGTTTTGTATTACATAATGCCTGGATTTAGGAGGGGTTGATCATGTTTTGTTATAATATATGCAGATTCCTGCTCGCACAAACTCGGCTCCTCCTAATTTTGATGAGCAGAAACGTGATCAGGTGTGCTATTTATTATCTTTTCCCCCCCTTTCCTCTCCTTGTTATATATACTGTGGTCTAGATTATAGTTCCCCCCGACACATCCTTTGGAAGGAAAGAGAATGTAATTGGTATTCATGGATTCTGATGCCACATAGGATATCCTTTTTCTGTAATAGAAGCTGACAAAGGAGTACATCTTTATATTTTTAAATTAGTCTTGTTAAAGTTGATGTATTTTTTTTCATAGCAATGCGAGTATTTCATATCCTGTCTAATTTCATAACCTTCAGGCTCACCATGATTCTTTAAGGCCCGTGCCTTCTGTGCCAACACCTCCTGTTCCAAAGCAGCTGCCAGCAAAAAAGGATACAGGTGCCTTTGACCATAAGGCTGGGGAAACTCATACTGGTACAGTGGCAAAAAAGGATGCTCAAGTGTCACCTTTACCCCCAGCCAACCTAATGCAGAAGCCTTCTGTTATTCCTCTAGCTGGAATTTCAATGCCAGTGCCATATCACCAGTCACAGGCACCTGTACACTTTGGTGCTCCTAATCTGCAAATTCAATCTCATGGCATGTCAACAGCACCTCTTCAGTTGCCCTTACCAGTGCCTTTTCCAATTGTAAGTGCTGCACAAGTGCAACAACAGGTATTTGTTCCAACTCTTCAACATCATCCTATTCATCCACAAGGAATCATGCATCAAGTCCAAAATATAGGTTACAGTCCTCAAATTGGTCATCAATTGCCCCATCATTTTGGCAACATGGGTATGGGCATCAACCCACAATATTCCCCACAGCAAGGAGGAAAAATGACTGTACCTCGGAAAACCACTCCTGTGAAAATAACTCACCCTGATACACACGAAGAGCTTAGACTTGATAAAAGGGCAGCTGGTGGTGGGTCATCAGGTGGTAGGTCTCACTCTGGCATGCTTTCTCAATCTCAATCTGTCCAGAGCCAGATAACAACCAATGCTCAGCCACCAAGAGTTTCCTGTGACGTGCCTAATGCAATCCCGTCAACTCTTTTAGGGGTATCTTCTGTATCTATAAAGCCAAGTGGTGGGTCTGATATTTTAAACTCATCATTTGCCAATTCCAATATTTCTGGTGCTCAAAAGGGTGGATCTCCTAGTTCCTCAGTAACATCTAGTGATGTTCACTCTTTGGTGCCACCAAAAGGGCCTGAAATTTGTTCTGAAATCTCTTCCCAACAATCTACTGCTGCATCTGCTTCTGCCGAGAAGCTTACATCAGCTTCCTTGTTGCCTTCTTCAACTGCTATTAGTGAGAATTCTGTTTCAGCTGTATCCAATAATGAAGACAGATACAAGGAATCTCTTAGTAGGTCAAATTCTTTGAAGGATAATCAGAAGAAACTACAAAAGAAAGGCCAATTGCAGCATCAGGTACAAAAGTGGTAGTTATTCAAAAACCCTTTACCTAAAATGATCTTTGTATGTTTCAAGTCATGTGAACGTCCTTTTTATTTTTTTCCTCACAGGTGGCTGTGCAATCTTCTGCTGTGGTTAATAAGCCTTCCCTAGCTGGTGATGGTTGTATCTCTGATTGTGTAGTTTCTGAAATTGTAGGAACTAAAACACCCTATTCTGCAGCAACTGCCAATGAAGATCTTTTAGCAATAGCTTCTGGCACAAATTCAGCTACCAGTGAGAGCTTGCCTTCTTCTGTTGAAGAGAAGACCAATGGTTCTACACAGGTGTCTGCTTATGCTTCAGCTGAAGGACCTGTTACTCAAGTTGTAGATAGCTTGAACAATCATATGAGTGATACGCTAGATGTATTATCACGAGAGGGTCAACAGCTGAGGCAGAACAAATTAGCTGGTGATAAAACTGAAATTTCAACTATGCAGATAAGTAAAAATGTTAGTGATAACGGGGCAGAATTTAGCCACCTCAAAAAAGGCGCTTCAGAATTAGGCACTGGGGTTGTAACTTCAAGGACTGTCCTGCAAGGAATGGATAGAATTGAATCTTCAAGTTGCAGCACAGATTGTGACAGGATGGCTGATAATTTAGGCATGTCTACTTCTGCATTGGATTCTAAAGATGCCTCTTTAAGCAGAAACGAAGGTGTAGTTAGTAATGAAGCCACTTCTACAAATTCTGGCACATCAGATCATCAATCTTCTGGCCATCTTGAAACAAATTTAAAACATTGCAAGGATGGTTCAGAGGATTCTGGCACTGGCTCAGCCTCTCTTCTGGCAGCATCAGTTACTATGGACAAACCAGTTTTAGAGCCAAGTAAGGTGAAAGGTACATCAAAGGGGAAAAAGAAACGAAAAGAAATTCTTCAGAAAGCAGATGCTTCTGGGTCAACAGCTGATCTTTATAATGCGTATAAGGGACCTGAGGAAAAGAAAGAAGCTGTTGCAAGTTCAGAGAGCACTGTAAATGTTTCTACTTCTGGAAATTCGAAGCAGCTGCCTATTGATGCTGCTCAGCCAGCTGTAGTTGCAAATGAACAATGTGGGCAGAGTAAGGCTGAACCTGAGGACTGGGAGGATGCTGCAGACATGTCCGCACGAAAACTAGAAGTATCAGATAAAACTCAACAGGACAGCAATGGTAGTGCAGTCACTGACAAAAAGTACTCTCGAGATTTCCTTTTAAAATTTGCAGAGCAATGCACTGATCTTCCTGAAGGGTTTGAAATCACGGCAGACTTAGCTGAAACTTTGATGGGTTCTAATATTGGTTCTCATGTTATTGAACGCAATTCACATCCTTCTACTGGCAGAAACACAGATAGGTCAGGTGGCATGTCTCGGATGGATCGTCGTGGAAGTGGCATTATTGAGGACGATAAATGGAGTAAAGCTTATGGTGCTTTTCATTCTGATATGCGCTTGGATGGTATTGGAGGTAGTGCAGGATCCCGACCAGGCCAAGGAGGTAATTTTGGTGTTTTAAGGAATCCGCGCACACAGACAGCTATGCAATATGGAGGGATTCTATCTGGGCCAATGCAATCCATGGTAAATCAGGGAGGAATGCAAAGAAATAGCCCTGATGGTGAAAGGTGGCAGCGTGCTGCTAGCTTCCCACAGAGGGGTTTAATTCCATCTCCTTCTCAATCTCCTTTGGTGACGATGCACAAAGCTGAGAAGAAGTATGAGGTTGGTAAAGTAACAGATGAGGAACAGGCGAAGCAGAGACAATTGAAGGGTATATTGAACAAGTTAACTCCACAGAACTTTGAGAAACTTTTTGAACAGGTAAAAGCAGTTAATATTGACAATGCAGTCACTCTCACTGGTGTCATCTCACAAATCTTTGAGAAGGCCTTGATGGAACCTACCTTCTGTGAAATGTATGCCAATTTCTGTTTTCATCTGGCAGCTGCATTGCCTGATCTCAGTCAAGACAATGAAAAGATAACATTTAAGAGATTATTGTTAAACAAGTGCCAGGAAGAATTTGAGAGGGGTGAAAGAGAGCAAGAAGAAGCTAATCAAGCTGATGAGGGTGAGGTGAAACAGTCTGACGAGGAAAGAGAAGCAAAACGATCCAAGGCTAGAAGACGAATGTTGGGTAATATCAGATTAATTGGAGAGCTATATAAGAAGAGAATGCTGACAGAGAGGATAATGCACGAGTGCATAAAAAAGTTACTGGGTCAGTGTCAGAATCCTGACGAAGAAGATATTGAAGCTTTATGCAAACTGATGAGTACTATTGGGGAGATGATTGATCACCCCAAAGCCAAGGAACACATGGATGTGTATTTTGAAAGGATTAAATTATTATCAAACAACATGAGTTTATCGTCTAGGGTGAGGTTCATGTTGAAGGATACCATTGATTTGAGAAAGAATAGATGGCAACAAAGGAGAAAAGTTGAAGGTCCAAAGAAGATTGAAGAGGTTCATCGAGATGCTTCCCAAGAGAGGCAATCCCAAGCTGGTAGGCTGGGTCGTGGTATGAGTATTAGCGCAGCAAGAAGGGCCCCTATGGATTTTGGTTCAAGAGGTTCATCTATGTTATCCCCTCCTAATGCTCAGATGGGTGGATTGCCCACTCAAGTTCGTGGGTATGGTTCTCAGGACGTCCGTGGATATGAAAGGCAATCATCATATGAGGCTAGGACACTGTCTATTCCCTTGCCTCAAAGACCTTCAGGTGATGAGTCAATAACCCTGGGACCCCAAGGCGGTCTTGCTAGGGGAATGTCCAGTAGAGGTTCTCCTGCAGTTTCAAATTTTGCTGGCCTTAACAGTTATAGTAATTTACCTGAGAGCGCTTCATACAGCCCTAGGGAGGACTTCACACCAAGATATATTCCAAATAGATCTGCTGGTCCAACTGCTTATGATCTATCAAGTGCTCAAGACCATAGTATGGATTATGGTAATATGGATTTGAGAAATGCAGATAGGTTTCTTGATAGACCTGGTGTGAGTTCACCTCCTGCCCAAGTACAAGAGACAGCAGTCTCCCTGAATACCTCTTCAGAAAAGGGTTCGTCAGATGAGAAACTACAGAACATGTCCATGGCAGCAATTAGAGAATACTATAGGTACTGCACACTCTTGTGTTTTCTATTCCCTTTGTTTAATCTTGTGATAATTATGTTTTTTATGAGAAGTGTGCTTTCTAGTTGGCTATTTATCATTTTCTTATAACTATAATCCTCAGTATGTTAAGCATGTCCAGATTCTTCATGGAAAATCTTTTGTTTCTTCTTACTTCAACACCTTCGCATTTGTTTGTAAAGCATATTATAAATTACTCTCATTAGATAGATTATTTAATGGTTTTGGTTTGTACTGAATTTTGGTTTTGTTTTGTATTTCTTCTGTGAATATATTGCGTTGAAGTATGTCACACTGTTTGTTGAAAGGTTTATAATTGTCATATTCATATTATTTATAATTATAAACAATGAAAATGATGTTCTTCTACTTAATTTACAGGCTAGTGTAAAAATATTAAACTATGGGTTCTAGTAATAGAAAAGCTAATGGAAATTTGCATTTAGTATGTACGTAATAATGCATTATATATAACTACATAACTGTACAATTACATGTGGATGGGTTGATGTTTTGTAACACTTCATGCACGAGTTGGTTAAAAATTCATGTTTGATGCAAATAATATTTGAAGTTATGTCTTTTAGGTGAGAAAGAGGGTCCTGACAATTGGGATAATCCCCATTGAAAACAAATAATGTAGTATGTTATTGCCTAGATGCATGGTTCATAACTTACGCATTGCTGTTTCCTTTTGAAGTGTTACCAGGTTCAGTGGGTTATGTATTGCCATGGAATGCTCGGCAGCGTGGTCAATGCCCTGGGTTAAAACATTCATTTTATTATAATCTCTAAATTGTATCTTATAGTAATTTAGGGAACTTAGGTTATACCCTGTGTTGCAAAGGTACGGGTACGTACCCAGTACCCGATATGGGTGCTGGTACAAAATACGGCATTTAAAAAAAAACTAAGGTATGGGTATGCGGGTATGTATCCATATGTGCTCCGATTTCTCTAAGTAGAAGATGAAGAACTTGGTTATGCAAAGAGTTTCAATGCAATGGATTGAAGTTTAGGGATTGAATATCCATAAGTTATCCACCATTCCTTTGCTTTCAAGATCAATCGATCTTGCAACGAATCAACTTGACCAAACTCTACATCAGCACTTGAAAAGCCTATTAAAAAAAGTCTATAACTATACCATTAGAAGATAAAATTTGAGTTCGCATACCCAATATGTACCCACTGGAGTACCGACTTAAAAGCAAAATTAAAAAAAAGAAAAGGTACAGTGTCGGTACGTACGCGTACTGGTACCCGGTACAGGTACTTTACCTAAAATGGAGTACCCGTGCTTCACAGGTTATACCTTAAGATTTGTTTCATAAGTTGATGAGATTAAAAATCTAATATTAGTATAAATGAGGGGTAATGTTTATTTTCTTGCAAGAATAATATTTAACAAATTGGCTACTTTATTTCAATTTAACTTTATTATTCAGGCTATTCAACTTCCTATTATATACCTAGAAGACTAAATCCTATAACACAACATCTCATACTTCTTAAGATGTTTGATTGTCAAAATGGATATAACATGTCAACAAAAAAAGACCCTGAAGCTAAGATATTGTTTGTGTCTTGGTTGAATTAGCCCCTTCTTTCCTGCCTTAAGGTCAGTCCTCAAGTTGTCTTTCCTAAACTATTATGTTCTTTTTGTCTTGGACATACATTAGGTTAGACTAGTGGGGGTGAGACATGCTGCTTTGAAGCTGCTCTCTGTCTGACTTCTAATGTTAGCAATTTATTTGCATTTTGACATAGCCCCATCTTGTACAAATTGAATGTATGTCCGCTGGTGCAAACGTGATCCATCTATAGTTCTGCATCGTCACTTTTCTAAGTTTTGGTGTGCTTACTCTTATGTTGCAGTACGAGGTTGACTATTTTGTGGTAATTGTTTTAGGAAAATACTCTTTACGCCTGGCTTGATTTCTTTTAGGACTTACGATACTGGTTTTGGGATTAAGCCCAATAAGTGGGCTGCATAGGGAATTGGGAGAATTGCTGACATGTCAAATTGTAACACAGGCAACATGGTAATAGGGTGCGGGAGGAAGGAAGAAAAAACTAATTTGTATGTTTTTCTATTGGGACCTTATAGGTTGGGTAGAGAGAGTATCTCTGAGAAACATTTGCCCTAGGATTACATTGACCCATCTTCTGTAATAGTTCAGTTTCTTCAATCAATAATAAAATTTTCCGGTATCTTAGTTCAGCTTCCTATCATTTGGTACAACCTATCGGATCCTTGAGAGAGAATCAGTGTTACCGCCGGAGATGGAGGACTTGTGGGCTGGTTGAACCTGCTGGACTTTATGGGTACAAAGAGTATCTCTGAAAAACATTTCCTCTACGATTATATGGACCCATCTTCTGTAATAGTTCATTTTCTTCAATCAATATCACAAATTTTCAGTATCTCTTAGTTCGGCTTCTTATCATTTGGTACACCCTATCGGATCCTTGAGAGAGAACCAGTGTTGCTGCTGGAGATGGAGGACTTTGTGGGCTGGTTGAACCTGCCGGGTTTTATGGGTACAGAGTATCTCTGAGAAACATTTCCTCTAGGATTACATGGACCCATCTTCTGTAATAGTTAATTTTCTTCAATCAATAACACAATTTTTTGGTATCTCTTAGTTTGGCTTCCTATCATTTAGTACAACCTATCGGATCCTTGAGAGAGAACTAGTGTTACCGCTGGAGATGGAGGACTTGTGGGCTGGTTGAACCTGCTGGACTTTATGGGTACAGATCCAGTTGGCAAGGATTCCATAAGTTCAAAGGGCATTCATGAGCATGGAAGGTGGCGAGGGACTAGTTACACTGGGGCCAAGTAAACCTAGATCTAGATTCGAGGTCATTCTCCTTGGCTCTAATAAAAAGATTTGAAGAGTGAAAGTGGTAGTGTAACGTTAGTGGAAGACGGAATCAAGTTACAAGCACTTGGTGAGATAAAAAGGGATGAACAAAATCTAAACGGCAATGGATTTGAGGCTGTACCTAACAGAACCAACTTACATGCTCGTTAGTGGGTCCATTCTAAGACAAGATTTGTTGGTGAACCAGATACGGAAGTACAGCAAATATTCCTTTTTGTATTGCAGTCTTCCGTGCATACCCATCATTGCTGTGAGTACCTCAGGTGCACATTCCATCCTCTATGCAAGCTTCTCCGGTGTGTGCGGTCCTTGCTGCAACCCCCTTTATCCCGTCAAAGACATTGTCTTAAGCTGCTATGGTGCCCATGTCGCCTCTGTTGCAAGCCATTTTGGTGCGCACTATCTTGATGGTAAACCATTCTGAAGCTCGTGTTGTCCTTGTTATGAATCCTGGATGAGCTTGGCCATGACATTCTATTAGCTAAAGCCTGGATGAAGTTGGATTTTTCTTTAATAAAATCCTCTGGACCTCTAGTGAGTATGGGGTACTTCTTGAAATCCTAGAAGAGATTGCCCTGGATGCATTGGATGTGTCAAATAAGCTTGCTCTATATTAGCTCAAGTTGTGATTGATTAAGTTGTGGCCTCTAAACTTGGAAGAATTTAACAACAATTCACCACCCAAATACACTGCGAGTGAGATTATGTGGATGACTCAATTGTTTGCAGCTGGCTCGGTAGCTTCCAACAAATAGGACCCTAGGAAAAGGGCGTGGTTTTCAACTACTATTTTACAAGGAGATATTTTGGAGGACTGGTTATTGGTCTCCAGAGGTTTTTAAGTGTCAGGAGTTTACATTGTAATGGTGCTTTGTTTTTTGATGTCCTGGTTGTTGCAGCTATTTGTTTTCTAGAAATGTTCACGCCTGGTTTCTCTGATGAGTTGCAAGTTGTTCATGCCAATGCTACACTTGTAACTGGAGAGGATATAGCCACTATGATGCTGCTTACGGAAGGAACAAATTTCTGGAAGCAGATATGAGATAACTCAGTGGGCACACTATTTTGTATGCAATTGGTCTTTGGTATGCTTTATGGCTTGTAAAGCATGGCAATTCTGATTTCTTTAAATGGCCCCCTCATGGTCACTACCTATGAGTCCTTCCAATTCTCAGTTTCCAACAGGGTCAATGTTAATAATCACGGCTATTGTATAGTTTTTTTTGCAAATATTTTGTTCAACTGTGATGCCATCTTAGAAAATACCAGGGTAATTGGTTCAAAAGGAGTATCAGAGCTCGCTTTCTTTGTTATGACTCTGAAGGATAAATTTGTACTGTGAGGAGTAAGTAGTGTTAGGATAATGGGTTAGGGGTTTGGTCCTAAGCCTAATAAATGGTCTGAATAGGAAAGTTAAAAGAATTGCTGAAGTAGAATTAGTGGGCATAAGCAACATGATATTAAGTGGAGGATAAAAGGTAGAGAGCATAATTAAGTGTCTTTTATATTAGGACCTTATAGGTTGGCCAGAGAGAGTATCATTTCTTCTCTGAAGATCATCTTCTATTAAACATACTTTGCATTTCACCCACTTGTTTTCTAGTTTGTCCGCAGTTATTGTGGTGATTTATTTTCCAGTTGTCTTGTCTTTTCATTAAACAATCTGACTGTAAGTTGTTCTGCAATTCAGTGCTAGAGATGTGAATGAAGTTGTTTTGTGCGTCAAAGATCTGAACTCTCCAAGCTTTCATCCTTCCATGGTCTCTCTCTGGGTCACAGATTCATTTGAGAGAAAGGACACACACAGAGACCTTTTGGCCAAATTGCTGATGGACCTTGTAAAATCTCATGGTGGTACCTTAAGTCAAGCCCAGCTCATCGAAGGGTATAATTTATTTGATAACTTGGTTGTAGTACTGAGAATCTGTCATTGTGATTTAACAACAATTATATTTGTTATCTTTGCTAGGTTTGACTCTGTTCTAAGTACATTGGAAGATGTGGTTACGGATGCCCCAAAAGCACCAGAGTATCTTGGCCGCATTTTTGCCAAAGCTATAACAGAGCATGTAGCCTCTTTGAAAGAGATTGGGCGGTTAATACATGACGGTGGATATGAATCAGGGAGCCTCTTACAAATTGGACTTGCAGCTGACATTCTTGGAAGCACCTTGGAAGTGATACAAACAGAGAAGGGTGATGCCTTCTTGAATGAGGTTCAGACAAGCTCCAACTTGCAGTTGCAGACCTTCCTGCCTCCAGGACCTATTAAATCTCGCAAGCTAGAGAAATTCATTTAGGGGGCAGAAATGGTGACTTTTTTTATTTTTATTTTAGTTCTTTTAGAATACACTCTAATTTGCAAAATTGTTTTTCGGACAGAAGTGGTGAGATTTTTATTTGTTTTGGTGCTTTTAGAATACTCGTAATTTTCTAAATTGGTTTTCTTCATGGGAGCGGTGGTGGGGAGAATTTTATTCTCGGATTTCTGTCTAAATAATGTCTTCACTACTATCATGAAAGGTACAGTTAAACACCATAAATTTTAGGTTGAGATATAATGCTTGTCATGAGGGGTTTAATTTTTTTAAGCAGTATTGTATATCATTCAATTTAGCTGTCCATGAAGATATATATAATGACGTGTATTAATCTGCAACAACATCAATGTCTATACAAAATGTTTATATAAAAATTCGGTTGTTTTTCAATACACTTTTTGAAAACTAATTTTTTAAAAAAATTTTGAAAATTAGAAAAATTAAAAATAAGTTTAAAATGTTTTTATTTTTTACTTTTGAAAATTTAGAAGAAAAATAATGTTTAGTTTTTATTAATGATTTTTAAATAACTTTTCTATGTTTAAAACGTAAAAAGTAATGTATATCAAACAAATTTATGAATGCAAACGTGTCTCAAACAAATTTTTTAATTTCTTATTTTAAAAACAATTTTTAAAATAAAACTATAATAAATTTATTTAATTTTTTTCTTCTAAATAATTTACCTATTTGATCATATATGATTAGAACCTTATACTTTGATCTTAACATATAAAACATACACATTATGTTTATATCATAGTTGACTGTATGTAAAAATTGTTTGTTCTCTTTTCATTTGTTTTGAAAATATTTATTTCATTCTATTTTATTTTAAAAATGGTGATAATATCAAAAAGTGTTTTGTTTTAAAAAAGTGGGGCGTGACATTGTGTTACTTTAGCATGTCAATAGATTTTGAGAATTTCTTAATACACTCTAGATACTTCTTGGCTATCACGCAAAATTATTTAAATGTTTTTAGATTTTGCTGAAACACATCTAATTTTGAAAAAATGTTGATATATTCTAGAATCATTATAAACATTTAAAATATGTTACTCATAAATCATTTATATTTGAATTATTTCGGAGATACATCTCCGTGAATATTTTGGAGATATATCTCCGAAATGTATCAGAATAAATATTTTTTACTTTAAGTTGTGCATTTGTGTTCAGATGAAGTATAACACACGATCCAAAATAAAAGATAGACGTACAAAATAATAAGAGACTAATATCGGGTATGCCGAAAATAAAATAGCAATATATGTAGAAAATGTCGTACAATAGAGATCTAAAATATAGTAAAATTGTCAAAATAAAGTAGAGAGTATAATACTATAACAAAATAATAACAAATTACTACTATGTGTGTCTGTCAATATTTCCTCTACCTCTTCTGCATGCTCTACCTCCCCGGTCATCAATCTCCCCCTTCCTCAAGCGATGTCTCCGAGACAACAGTGCCCTATGTGCCTTCACCATGATGGCATCTAGGACTCACCTAACGACAAACCCATAAGGAAAGATACCCTCGTTAATGCTTGCCTTCACAATCTCCATTATGCGACGACACCTACGCAAGACATCTTCAATATGATCTAGTTGAGTCTGCTCTTCCTCTAGTATTTCTTGATGAGCTGGTCTCGGCGGATCTCCTAGAGTATCATGCACCATGTGCGGGTGTCACACCATAAAGAACCATCTGATGTACCCCTCGACATAGCTCCAGTTGCTTGGGCTATGGTAGCCCATGGCTCCTCAAGTACCAGATGAATCTCATAATCATCAAACATCTTCTCTATTTGCCTACGAGTCAATGCAAGTGGAGTAGAGATAACAGGGTGTCTATGGATGGTCCGAGTGTACTCGAACTTGCGCATGACACGCTCGGGAAAATGAGGAGCAGTGAGACGTGATCCACAGGCAAACCACCCGGAGTATAACACTATCTCATCAAATGCCCACTTCTGACGGTGATTCACATAGCTACTGAAGTGCATGTCCTCAACAAGAAAACGACCAAGATAAACTCTGAAAGGCTCGACCACCTGGTTCCCCCTGAGTGAGATAAAAGCACAGGCACATGACATATCCTTAGTGTACTCAGGCACACTCGCCTAGCCAACGATGCGTGAGAAGTGCTGGAGGATCCAAGCTTGAAATAAAAGAGTTTGGAACACACGAATCATCGGTTATGGTTTTGTAAATAAATAATGAAAATCACAAAAAACATTCAAGGATCAAGAATATTACCACCACTAGCGTCACACTGCCTCTGATCTGCTTAGTCTTCCACATATAACCCTTTTTCAACTTTGAATAAAGATAGACTAGGCATCCCGCCCCCCAGTTATACTCATGGATCCCTGTAGATCCAAGAAGTACCATAGGTAGGCAACGTCAGTATAACTGGCCAAAATGTCCACAAAAATGCAAGTGCCAACCAAAAAAAGAAAGTATGCTCTCAAAGTATGCATCCTGTGTACCGCCACCTGCTCATCATCACCATGCGCCTACTGTTCCTTATGTATCTTGGCCACGTAGAGCTTCCTCAGGAACTCAAATATAGCATGAGAACCCCTAGTCTTATCCACCTCCTCCATCGCATCCCATGAGTCATCCCCCAGATGCTCTACCATCATCTCGACTGCCTCATCCCTGGTCATCCTCCCATGATCAAGGAATCTCCCCCTGATCAAAATATGAAACAAACACGAGACATCGTCTAGTGCGATAGGCATCTCACCATGCGAAATATGAAACAAAGAGCTCTCAGAGTGTCATCCCGTGATTAACCAGAGTGTAACTGATCATGCATAGGTCCTTCTGGCCAGATAAGGACAAAACTGTTTGAAACCAATCCTCTTCCTGTTGAGGCAATGCGATAATATTCCTTCTGTGGTTAAGAGACTTCTAGGGATCATGCTCCTGAAATTTGTCAGAAACAATCAATGTCAGAAATAATTAATGTCAGAAATCATCAATGTCAACAATTAAATTTAACACATAAAAAAAAATAAAGAATTCAACAATGCCACGTCTCTTTCCCAGATATGTCTAGCGGTGTGATATGGATGCAGAGGAAGTAAGGAAAAATCATATAGACCTTATCCAAAAGCCTCTGGATTGGCATGTGCAATAGCCTCACCTTCTGGAGGTGGCACTGGATCAACAACATCATCAGTGGGAGGTGGGTCTAGAACAACATCATCCATAAGAGGTGACACAGGTGAATCCCGACGCCTACAAGAGGATGGGGGATGTGACACGTGAGATGGTAAATCTCGTCTCCTATGGGAAGAAGAAGAAGGTGGAGTGGTCTAAGGTGAAGCTTGAGCCCCAAAAGTAGGCGGCTCTGCCTGACTAGATGTACTTGGAGCCTCCGGAACCTACTGGCTCCACTTCTGCCGAACGGATGCGTGCTAAGCAACCATGTCATGTCTCAATCCGTCGAATCTGTCAACCGTTATGCCTATAAGGTGAAGTAAGGCATACCATTAATGCACATAAACAAGACACACACGCAAGAAAATTTAAAAAAAACATGCTGAAGGAAATTCTGAAGATGCATATCTGGAAGCACCAATAAACTAAAACGTTGAAAAATTCTGGAGATGAATCTCCAGAAGCACCATTAAACCAAAATGTTGAACAATTCTGGAGATGCATCTCCAGAATTTTCTGAATTATATGAAATGTTGAACAATTTTGGAGATGCATCTCTGGAATGTTTTGCAACTCAGAAGTTGCGTCAATGGCGAATGTATCACATGCAACTTGACAAAAATATGATTTGATCGTGAATTTCATCCATGTAAGTGCTTCTGATTGGCTGCATTTTGTGGCAAAACATTATAGTGTGTATGGATGTCATAACTAATGATGTGACACACAATATGTAGGGTAAGTAGTAAGTTGAGTTGGATGTCATGACTTAATGTCATAACATTGATCGTATGACATCAGGCGCGCAAAGTTTTTTTCTTCCTGTTATTCAGAATGAGGAAGCTCAGGCTAGAATTCAGGAAACTTTATAGAAACTCAAGCTGGAAGTCAGGAAACATTTTAGAAGCCCTGGAGAAAATAAATGTACCTGACCTAAGTGGTAAGTGCAGCTTTTTAAAGAGAGGTTTGGGTAAACCTAATTTCTGCACCAAGGCCCAAGGACTGTCTGCTGCTATAAATAACAGAAGGAGCAATCCTAGAAGAGCATCTCTTGACAGAAGATTAGAGAGTGTATACTTAGAGTACTTGTGAGTGAAGAAGTTCTGTTCTTCACGTGTGAAATGTGTCTTAGGAATACTTGTACACCAAGCAATTGTATGCTACATTGGTTAGGTAGGTTCTAAGTTGTTGTGTCACTTAAAGCTGTTAAGCAAGAGTGTGTGTCACTTGATCAAAGTTGTGAAGCAAGATCAAGGTGTGTTTTTAGAGTGTATCTCCATAACTGTTATGTAATTGTGTGTTGATATCACTGAGGTGATTGAGGGGGAGTGAGTGGGTATACTCAGGTCTAGAGTGTCTCTAGGCAGAAGTGTCATTGGGTAGGTTTTAAGTGAGGAGCTCAAACTTGGTTGTTTGACTCTGAATTAATTCTACTAATAGTGAATTTCCTCTCTGGCTTGGTAGCCCCCAGATGTAAGTGTTGTTGACACTGAACTGGGTGAACAATTACTGTGTTATTTACTGCTTCTCTTTACAACATTTTAATTACTCCAACAGTCTGTGTTACAGTGGATGTTATAACATCCACAATAACATCCATCGTGTGCTTGCCAGAATTTCAATTGGCATCAGAGCGGGCACCCTGCCTGTTATTTCTGGGTGAGATCTAGGGAAGATAAATTCTGGCACTATGGATAAAGACATAGGACTCACAAATAGACCTTCAATTCTGGATAGCTCTAATTATGACTATTGAAAACCGAGGATGATTGCCTTCTTAAAATCATTAGACATCAAGGCATGGA